CCTTGCTAAAATTATATTCTTGATAGAGACGTTCCTGATGTACCTGTCCCAAGAAAGAAAATATTTTTAAAGTAAGGAACACAAAGTTATATAATGTAAAACTTCATACAAACACAAAAAGAAAACACAAGGATGTTATAACTTCAACATTTAGAACCATATTAACTGAGGAGCCAGGCATAGTAGCTCATACTTGTAATCCCAGCAACTCAGGAGGCTGAGACAGGAGAATATCCAATTTGAGACCAACCTGGACAATTTAGTGAAACCTGAAGCAAAATAAAATATAAAAAGGATAAAGATATAGCTCAGTGATACAGTGTTCCTAAGTTCAATGCCCCATAACAAAACAAAAAGAAATTAGGGATACAGGATATAGCTCAGTGGTAAGAGTGTTTGCCTAGCACACACGAGGCTCTGGGTTTCATTCCCATTATCACAAAGAAAAACCAATTAGTTGAGCATGGTGATGCACACTTGTAATCCCAGCAGCTCTGGAGGGTAAGGCAGGAGGGATCAAGTTCAAAGCCAGCCTCAGCAACTTATCAAGGTCCTAAGCAATTGAGCAAAACCGTCTCAAAATAAAAAACAAAATAAGTAACTAGTTAAATTATGGAATCAACCCAGATGCCTGTAAATAAATGATGGATTAATAAATTGTGGAAAATATATACACACAATAGAGTACTATTCAGCCATGAAAAAGAATGAAATTTTGGCATTTGTCAATAAATGGATGGAAATGGAAAAAATCATGCTTAAGTGAAATACGCCAAACTCCAAAACTCAAAGTTCAAATGTTTTCTCTCACATAGGGAAGCTGGAGTAAAATAAAGAAAAAGGGGAGGGAAGATAAAATAAAGAATCAATCAAATATAAATTAATAGACAAGTAAAAAAAGTCTAATACAGTAGAGGAAGGAGAATGGAAGAGGAGAGGGGTGATGGGAAGGGAAAGAGAAGGATGATGAGCTGAAATCAATTTCCAGGTATGTATAAGTTTGTCAGGATGAACCCAGCTACTATGTATAATTATAAAGCTCTAATAATAATATCAATAAATAAATGTGTAAGATATAATAATATATTCAAGAATATAATTAAAAGTTCTCCAGAGGAAAGTCTCTAAGAAGGCAGCAAAGGCCAAAATCACAAACAGAAAGAGTTAAATACATGAATTTGATGACAAGAATGCTTATCACAGCCTATTTTATAATTTGGAAACAAATTATACAATGCAATCATTAAAATTATGATTACATCAAATACAAAATATTTCAGGGTCTATGTAAAATATCAATAAAACAAATGATAAGTTTTATAGGGGCTGGAGTTGTAGCTCAGTGGTAGAGTGCTTGCCTAGCATGCCTGAGGCACTGGGTTTGATCCTCAGCACCACATAAAACAATACACAAACAAAATAAAGGTACTGTGTCCATCTATAATGTAAAAAAAATAAAAATAAAAGATATTGTGTAAGTTATAAGAATACTAGAAAATAAATATTTTTTAAAAATAAATAGATAAATAAATAAATAAATAAATGTTATAGTATTGAGTTAGAGAACTACAGAGAATTCTAACAAATCAGTCGGAGCAATTCAAACAACCAAACTGAAATGGGCAATATGTTAAAAAAAAATGAAAAAATTCAAGAAAATATGTTCATCTAAAAGTTATCCAAGAAATGCATATTTAATGAGCATTGAGGTTCTATTTCACCTGTATCTAACTTGGGAGTAGAAGACGTGGAAAACTAAGCACTCACATACATTTCTTGAGAGCAAATGAATGGATATACCATACTGAAAGACATAATTTTTAAAAATCTTCAAACCTGGGGATGTGGCTCTGTGGTAGAGTGTTTATATATAATATGTGCAAGGCCCTGGTTTAATCCCACACACTACAAATAAATAAATAAATAAAACCTTCAAAATATATATAGCCACTTTCAAGAATTTGATCCTAGCATATAATAATGTATATGAATTTGATAAGAATGCTCCCCACAGCATTTTATTAATAACTTGGAAACAAACCATAATAGAATACAATCTTCAGAATTATAATTATAGAATACTAAACTGAAAAATATTTAACAAAATATTCATAACAGACATAACATATTGTCCACCTTGTTTATTTATGTTTACTTTTTATATTTTTGTGGTACTAGAGATCAAACCCAGGACCTCACACATACTAGACAAACACTCTACTGAGCAATATCCCTAGCCCTGTCAACTTTAATTGGCCATAAAACCAGTATGTGTGGTTTTATTCTATTTTTATATAGAAAAAAATGTATGTATACAACATATACTTACACACAAACAAAACTATTAATAATGAAATCTCTGAGTAATGGAATTATGGGGTTTTTTATTTTTCTCCTTTAAGATTTTCAACAATAAGCATTATTTTTGAAAACTGAAAATTTATTATTAAAAAGAATGTTTTCTATACTTTCATTAAAAATAAAATAAAAAATAAATACAAAACAGTGAAGAAAAACTTCAGAAACTCCCATACGTGCCTCAGGTACTATTCTAAGTACTAACCTGATATGTCCAGAAAGCCAG